ATAATTTTTTTATGAAAAATAATATTTTTTAATAATCCCTTTTTCATTCGACATACTTTATCTTAATTAGGATATTAATAATGAACTAGCAGATCATGTAGCTTTTGGAATAATCCACCAATTTTTTAAAATTAAACACTATCTAAANAAACCAATTTTTTAAAATTAAACACAATCTAAAGATTTGCATCGAAGCGTTTTTTTTTTATAGTGATTTTAATCACTGTCAGATATCATTATACTTGATCCAACTATNAATCACTGTCAGATATCATTATACTTGATCCATCTATACCACGTCACCACTGTGCCGCGACCCCCCTGTGCTGGGTTTTTTTTATTATTCTACGTTCACAAATGATAGCTTTACTAATACTTATCCAAATGACACAGCGAATCAATTTGCTAAGTATTATACCTTAGTGGCTTACTTACTCTGTACACAATTCGACGTTGTATTAGAAATTCACTTTTTTCCAGTCCTATCTATCAATCCGCCTCGTCTTCATGAATAATTGAATGGTGAATGTGTCAAACGTTCTATGTGCCAAAAAGTGAAAAATTGTTTTATTTCTGATTTATGTTCTATGTGCCATAGGCCACAATCTTGTATGTGTTTCAAATGTCAATTAAATTTTTTACTTGTACGAAATTGCATTCATAGATGGTGTTCGTTATGTGAGACATGCCCATGTTACCATCGTTTTTTGTGTTTTTTGAACAAATATGTTTTTGGCACATAGAACGTTTGACACATTCACTCTTCAATTATAAATGTATATTCTGTAATCTTGTATACCACAAGTTGCCGTTATGTTTCCTCTGATATTTATCTTGTGTATAAATTCTGCATCATCTATTCTCCTTTATTCGAAACGTCTAATCTTTGTTGACGATATGAAAATATTAATCCATATTTATTTAATCTCTAATTGTCAACTACTTTAAGATGACTTGTGTCGTTTTGTAACTTGAAGTAATTTTTTTGGTCTTTAAATGTTCATAAACGATCTTTACTCGACTCCAATGTCTTATTATGTATTCATACTACATTAATAATATCCCTACTAAACTGTTTAATGTATTGACACAGTTTCGCGTCGTTTCTTGATAACGGAGCACCGCGACCATTATCAGGCGTCGCCTTACTATATGTATGTGGTATTTTGATTGACTAATACCACATCACGCCACAGTACGAAGTCCAGCAAGCATCGCACGTCTGTCGACGACCCGCGGACGTCTTCGTCAAATTCATTTTCATTTTGTTTCTTTTGTTATATATTATTCTAATATAACTGTAGTAGTTTTCTATTTTTAAGTTAGTAAATCCTAACTACCTGCAATAGTGATATATATATATATATATGTATGTAAATACTAAAGCACTCTTATATTACTGTAGACTAAAGTAAACGGCTAACGCCACCTTGTTTTTGTAGAAAAAACTGTGTCGTCTTTTCGCGTGCTACAATATCGTAGTCGTATCAGTATTTGTCTGGGACTTTGGTTTTGTCCTTTCTAGAGAGTCCTTAAACTTTTTGGATTCCTAAAACGCATATTTCAAATAATTTTGTGAATGCAGACACTAGTTCTATTTTGGAATGAGTTCAAAGAAACTTTCTATGTCTCTACTCTATTAGACTTAATACCCCTCCTCCCAATTATACTCTCGTTCTTCTATCACTATGCATTACAAACTTATTTAATTGTAAGAACATGAATAACCTTAATATATTTCATAGAAAAATTGTTATATTCATTTGTTTTTCTTATATTTTAATAATAATAATAATCAAATTAATGATATAAAATTGTGAATTGTTTTTTAGCAGCATGCATAATTTTTAATATTCGTTCCTATCTTGCCGTGAATCATATTTGAAAATAATAAATTATTCCTATAAATTAAAAAATTGAATAAATTCAACTAAAAAATCTAAAACTACCTAACTTATCAATTCTGTGAAGTCATACAAATATCATATAGATATTTAGATATAGTGGTTTCTAAAGTCTGTTTTAGAATAACAATCATGCATATTATTCAAAATAATTTATTTTTGTAATATATATTATGAAAAATCTACAAAAAATATTTCATTTAATTATGAGTCATAGTGTTTTGAGAATCAGAATTGTCATTAACGAATGAGAATCTAATTAACTACAAGTTTGTGAGTTAATTATAGAGAATTGAGTTGGGTATATTAGTTAATACTTGAGGATTATCTTTAAGTCAATATTTATCAAATATACAATTATTTTTAGAAAAGATAAAATGAACAATTTAGAAAATGGTTTAAATAATTTGACGATTTATAATTCGAAAAATATTGAAAAAAATCATGATTGTCTAGAAAATTTTAAAGAATCTATAAATAATACCAAGAATAATTTTAAAGCGATCTCAGTTTCTAAAATTGAGTCTAGATCAGTATCATCGTGGACCTCTTCATCAGATGATAACTCTTGTCTTTTAAAGATATCCCAAGTAAAGTAAATACATAAACTAAATATATATATTGTAAAAAGTCAACGAAAAATATTACAACTTAATAAAATAGTTCCAGTCAATGAATAATTATTTGGAGAATACAACAAAATTGTATCAAATTAAATAAAATATTTCCGAAGTCTTATGATCGTCAAGATGAACTTAAAAATTATTCAAAAGTTCAGTAGCTACTTATTTTTTATACTTACAGTTTGTGAAATTTTATTTTTCTTACATCTGCAGCTTAACAAATTTGTTATGTTAAATAATTAAGTTTCATTTGTTATTACTTTGTAATCATTTGTATTATTTATAAAATATAAATTTACTAACACTTCGATAATTTATCTATTGACTTACTAACGATATTTTATATAAGGATACAGAATTGAAAATACTCCAGACCTTTATCAGATTTAGTGGGAGTAGAAATACGTCCTAATGGGGACATAGCATATGTATGTCTATTAATATTAAATTTATGAAATAGCTTGCAAGTAGGCTTTTGTCGACCTGCAACAACAACGTTATATGCCACTTGTATAACGACTAGTTATAGTAGCAAGGATCTCCACCACGTATCCGTGGTCACACCTATCCGAAATGATTACCATTGATGGAATTTAATTTTAAGTTAATATTGACAAATTCTGTTTCTATAGAAATGTTAATTATTATTATACAATTAAAAATGCCGAAAAATTTTTTATTTTTTAAATTGATGAACTGTACATTTTACTGAAAATATAATAGAAGTAAACCCAATGATGTAATAAGACATTGCATATAACTGGACGATGTTCCCATCACAACAGAATAGTAGTTGAATTATTAAGTAGTGAATTATCCAATAGAAAGATAGAGCTTATGGTACAGTGAAATGATCATAATATTCATCTGACTAGTTTCATATACATGCAGATTATTTAAGGATTTATCTTAAAAATGGGTATTGTAATATTCTTTTCAATACCTCTTTTATTTCTAAGACCACAGAAAATAATACGCTAACACGATTACGCATATAATTCTGACCTTGGTCACTATAAAGTAGCCATGAGTCATTGTCTTTTTCAGCGTCTTCGAGGCATCACAGAAGCAATAAATAAGGAAAGTTAATAAAAAGTAACTATCTTGCTTTGATTGTAGTACGGATTGGTGACTCAATATGTCTATGAAAAGGCATGACAAAATCGAGACATCTCATCCCTGTTTATGCCGTTCGTGGTACATTATATAAAGGCTGGAGACACTGTTTTTCCAGTCAGCCAATCTCATTTTTCTTGTCTCTTTTTCTCACTTAATAATGTCAAGTTAACCAATTTAATATTATACCAAACGTACTCAAGTGTATTCTTTATACTGTGTGTATAAAGAAATACGATCATTAAGATAAACCAAGCAATAATTTTCTTCTTCTTCCTCGTCTTAATCCCATCTACTTGTGTTCGGCCACCCTTATCCTAAACTTCCACTTAACACGATCTCCCACATCATCTACACTCACATCCTGTATTTAAAAAAAAACACTTAAAATATATATATAACATGACAGGTGGTATTGTAACACGCTTGCCATGTCGGGGGACCTAAATAATAAAAAAATAGGGACACTTACAAAAAAATTAATAAGAAATAAAAGAATTCGTCACACGTGCTTATGGTACGGCGCACTAAAAAAAAACTAATCTGGCCCATAACATTAAAATAAAATTACCAATCCCGAAGGACTAAATATTATAAGGTGATCCCCGCCCACGCCGTAAAACAAGAAAGTTATATTATACAAATTTAGCGGACACTTACGAAAAAAATATATATATAAAGAAATCACACAATAGTTGCAGCGCACATACAGCTAGCCTTTAAAGTGAGGTTAACAAATTTTAATACTCAATATCGGAAATTATTGAGAACAATTTGAATAGAAAAAATTATCATAAGGCGTCAATGTAGGTGGTGAGCAGTGTAAATGACGTTCAAAGATAGGAAAGGAGCGGGGTGAGAAATAAATGATAGTCACAAAAAAATACCTTCTCAGCATTGCATCGAAGCTATAACCTAAAATATAGTAAAATAATTTTATTATGAATAAGAAATTTCTTCTCGCGACTACAGTGATGGGAGCCTTGATCTTTATTCAGAGCGGGGTGAGTGTACACACATTTGCCGTCCATGAACCGGTCTGAAGTAATATACAGCTGACTATTTCACACAAACAAATCACAACACCTTATCATGGTTATTTAAATGATAAGTGCCGTCGCAACACCCATTCGGCCCAGCGAAGATAATATAGAACACACACACCCTCACACATATATATACAGGGTGACCCTATTGACAACTTAAATAACTTTTGATCCAGTTAGTATTTTTAGTTGATTTTTTTTTTAAATAATAGTTATACGTTAGGTCTATAGCTATATCTCAATAATTAATTTTTCTACATTTTATTAAAAATATTAATTATTTTTAAATTTTAAATAAAATGTAAAAAAAAAATCTAAGATAGCTATTTTGTAGAGTAGAATTTAAGAAAAATTTTGGTAAACAAATATTTTATTAAAATTCAGTAGTAAATATTCTGTGGCGTTTTGAAGTTTGTGAAAATTTGAATTTTCATGTATTATTTTACGGTATTAAACATTGAAATACGTATTGAGAAAAGGACAGAAGAAAACGCTATCTTTTCATGATTACTATAATTTGGAGGTGTGTAACTTTTTCCATGAAAATGACTTATACTTTTGAATGAGAGTGATAAGTAATATTTGCCTTATTTAATTTCTTATCGTGATAATAATGCCAAGTTTGTAATGTATACACATTATCATCATATGTATACACAGTAATCATGAAAAGATAGCGTTTTCTTCTGTCCTTTTCTCAATACGTATTTCAATGTTTA